GTGTCCCAGTGACCCCAAATTCCCTGGCCTCTTCAGCCAGGTGGTAATATAACTTAACTGTGGACCCTCTTTGCTAAAGCTGTAAATCTAATGTGATTCAGTGTTTTAGTGAACCAGTCTCCCTTGATGTTAAACAGTGCCCCAGTTGGCTAACACAGTAAATACTGGCCAAGACTTCAGTGAACACATAGAATGATATACTCAACTAACTATGTTAACATAATTGTAACATCCAAGTAAACGAACTTATGTGTGCTCTAAACTAAATCTTAACTATGACAGAATTACCATACACAAAGTAAACACAGGTTGACTAGTCAACAAGCATAATGTTAATCTTCTACTAATTAAGTTTTTAATTCATAAAATGTTAGAATCCACCTTAAAGTATGCCTTTGTTAATAATTTTTCACAATAAGATACTGAAACTGCAGTACTTTCACTCAAGGTACTGTCTGCATCTGTGTATGTATATGGTCCTGCCTTTGAAGTTGTCTCCTCTTCCTGGGTTTTAGGTCTAATCTCTGTTTATTACCCTTGGTGTCCCAATGACCCCAAATTTCCCTGATTCCTTCAGCCAGGTGGAGATAATAAAGTGTCTGTGGACCCTCCTTGTCAAAGCTGTAAACCTAATGAGATTCAGTGTTTTAGTGAACCAGTCCCACCAGTTGATGTTAAACAGTGCTCCAGTTGACTGACACAGTAAATACTGACCAGTGATTTAGTGAACACATAGAATGATATACTCAACTATATAAACATAACTGAGACATATAAGTAGGTAAACGTATGTGTGCTATAAACTAAATCTTAACTATTCATTTTCTTACTATGATAAAATAATCATACGCAAACAAAGTAAACACACAGGTTGACTAATCAACAAACATATTGTCAGTCTTCTACTAATTAAGTTCTTAATTCAATCAAATGTTAGAATCAACCTTAAAGTATGACTTTGTTAATAATTTTACCGAACAGTACTATTACTACAGTAATTTCACTGAAGATACTGTCTGCAGTAGTTTCAGTGAAGGTACTATTACTAAAGTACTTTCACTGAAGATACTATTACTACAGTACTTTCACTGAAGATACTGTCACTGCAGTACTTTGAAGATACTGTCACAGCAGTACTTTCACTCAAGGTACTATCTGCAATACTTTCAGTGAAGGTACTATTACTACCGTACTTTCACTGACGATACTGTCACTGCTGTACTTTCAGTCAAGGTACTGTCTGCAATACTTTCACTCTAGGTACTATTACTACAGTACTTTCACTGAAGATACTGTCACAGCAGTACTTTCACTGAAGATACTGTCAATGTAGTACTTTCACTCAAGGTACTGTCTGCAGTAGTACGTTCAGTGAAGGTACTATTACTACAGTAATTTCACTGAAGATACTGTCTGCAGTACTTTCACTGAAGATACTATTACTACAGTACTTTCACTGAAGATACTGTCACTGTAGTACTTTCACTCAAGGTACTGCTTGCAGTATTTTCACTGATGGTACTATTACTACAGTACTTTCACTCAAGATACTGTCACAGCAGTACTTTCACTCAAGGTACTGTCACTACAGAACTTTCACTGAAATTTCTGTCTGCAGTACTTTCAGTGAAGGTACTATTACTACAGTACTTTCACTTTAGACATTGTTACTACAGTACTTTCACTGAAGATACTGTCAATGTAGTACCTTCACTCAAGGTACTGTCTGCAGTACTTTCACTGAAGATACTGTCACTGCTCTACTTTCACTCAAGGTATTGTCTGGAGTACTTTCATTGAAGGTACTATTACTACAGTACTTTCGCTTTAGATATTGTTACTACAGTACTTTCACTGAAGATACTGTCACTGCAGTATTTTCACTCAAGGTACTGTCTGCAGTACTTTCACTCAAGGTACTATTACTACAGTAATTTCACTGAAGATTCTGTCTGCAGTACTTTCACTGAAGGTAATATTACTACAGTACATTCACTTTAGATATTGATACTACAGTACTTTCACTGAAGATACTGTCACTACCATACTTTAACTCAAGGTACTGTCTGCAGTACTTTCACTGAAGGTACTATTACTACAGTACTTTAACTTAAGGCACTGTCTGCAGTACTTTCACTGAAGGTACTATTACTACAGTGCTTTCACTGAAGGTACTATCACTACCGTACTTTTATTCAAGGTCCTGTTTGCAGTACTTTCATTGAAAGGTACTATTGCTACAGTACTTTCAGTTAAGTTACTGTCACTGCAGTAATTTCACTCAAGGTACTTTCACTGTATTACTTTCAGTGAAGATACTTTGCAATACTTTTCAATTTGTCATCAATTTTCCTCTTGCAGCCACATCCAGGGCGGTTGGCTACAGTCCCATGGACCTTAAACTTCTGATAAATATGTGCCACTGTAGTCAAAGGAATATCAAGCTGCTTGGAGATGGTCTTATAGCCTTTACCTTTAACATGTTTGTCTATAATTTTCTTTCTAATCTCCTTTGACAACTCTTTCCTAATTTTTCTGTGGTCCAT